GCGATCTCGGCCTCTATTTTTGGTTTAAGGGGAATGGGCACCTTCCAATACTTTAATCGGATTGGGGTTACAGCGGGATCCAGTTCGAACGACACCGGGGGCCCTGTATACTTCCCCAGACCGTCCCCAAACACATTCGGAAATTCCGTATACAGTACTGCCCGTTTATTTTCAGTGACAGAATTAACACCCGTAATAGCAATCCCCAGAGGGCCAAACCAATCCAACCCAAGCAAATTCGTACGGTTTCCCTCAGCAATCAAACATGAAAGCATGGCACATTTTCCCTTAAACTCAACAGTGAATGAATTCCGCTCCGCCAAAGGAATTCGATTGCCCTGAAAATCAGACAACCGAGTGTCTGCGGCTCATAGTCGACGACGACTCCTCGTAGGAAAGAGCTGGTGCCACGTCTGCGTTGACAACACCGTCACCGATGATCCGGAGTCCACTTCCATTTCACATGGAACCCCGTCTAGGTAGAGGGTGACGTTAATCTTACCATGGCCATCGGTGCGAAGGACTGTGGACTCGGTCGACAGGCTGGTTCCCTTGGCGGCAGCCCGGGGATGTTGATTCCTGGCCGGGGATTCCGGCGCTGAGTTGTTCGATGCCTTGCAGACTCGAGCGACGTGGCCCCGCTTTCCGCACGTCCGGCAGTCGAGATCCTTGGCCCAACAGTGCTCACGCCGATGCTTCCCTCCACAGCCGAAACAAGCCGGGCCGTTAGAAGGTTTCCGTGGGGTACGCTTGCTCGCCCCCGCCTTTACCGTGCAGACGTCGTCATCCAAGTCACCGCTTCCGTCGCCGGCCATCTGTTGGTGGACGCGCTGTTCGGTCGTCGCAAGCCGCTGTCTCACCTCCCTGGTTGATCTGTCAGCAGCTTCCGCGGCAACAGCCTCGGAGTATGCGAGGGCCCAGGTCAACATCTTCTTGGCGAATAGGCGTTGCTGTAGTCACTCGTCTTTCATGCCACAAACGAGTCGGTCACGGAGGGCCTCTTCCACGTTCGTGAAGTTGCAAGGCCTCGCTGCCTTGCACAGGGCCGCCACATATTCGGCCACGGATTCGTTCGGTGCCTGGCCCCGCTTGTAAAAAGCGTGCCGACAGGCAATCTCTGACGGCTGTGGAGAGAAGTGTGATTTCAGCTTATCCATTAAATCTTTGAAGGATACCGTCTTGATATCAGCTGGTGCCACTAGCGACCGGGCGATGTCAAACACACCCTTTCCGCAAGAACTGAGAAGGGTCGCCCTCTTCTTTTCCTCTGCCGTGATGTCATTCGCTTCGAGGTGGAACTCAAACCTCGTTAGGTAAGCGTCCCAGTCCTCGGTCGTAGGTTTGAATGCCTCGAACTTCTGGCTGCTTGTGGCCATCCTCACAGGCGCTACCACTGGAGCGGGTGGTGCCTGCTGATCAGCCACGGCGATCTGCTCGCTGTTGTCCGTCAGGGTGTCGATACTAGCGGGGCTGCTTACCCGCCCTAGTATCCCATCCTCGTCACCACTTGTTAAGTCATGAACTTAACGAAGAGTCGGAGAGTGATTCAGCAAGAATGCGGCTTTTGTTCTTCAACTCGAACTCACTTCCAACACAGTACAACATCAGTCAGCCAAAGACAGCTTTGGCATAGAAGCTGCTCTGTATTTAAACATTCCTGGCTAATATAGCCACGCCTACTATACAATAATCAACCAATGCGGTAGAACCATTAAAAGCCAATCACAAACGTTCCCGCTCAGGGAGCTTCTTCATAGTGATTGGATATTGCTTCCTGGGCTAGTGTTCCCATTGGTTACATTAGGATCCTAGCCCAGGATGAAGCTTAACATGAGATGGTAATGGAATGATTCACAAACATCCAATACATACATTCAAGTCATTTTGAAAACACTACAGAAAACTCTATGGTTTTCCCTCCGACGATCCAGGCCACGCCACCAACGTGGTCGACGTCGCGCGTCTCTTCTGGTGACGCGCTGGCGGTGCATGCGCATCCAAGGACGGCTCCCGGAGCCCGGCGAGGCTCCCCCGCCAGTGAGGTTTTTTTGACTTGGCAACCCTAATTGCTAGAAAAGCAAAAGGCAGGTGGTATTTTCCTCTTAGCCCATTTTTAGCAGTGCACCATCCTTAAACAGACCCATTCTGTTCTGGGCTCTGCCTTGGGGTTGCCAGCCTCCAGGTGGCAGCTGGAGATCTCACACTATTACAGTTGAACTCCAGATGACCAAGAGCAGTTCCCCTGGAGAAAAGGGCTGTTTTGGAGGGTGGGCTCTAGAATCATAGAGTTGGAAGGGGCCATACAGACCCTCTAGTCCACCCAGGCAGCTGATTCCGCCTTTGAACCACTCTGACCGTGAAAAAAGTTTTTCCTAATATCCTGCCGATACCCGTCTGCATGTAATTTAAACCCGTTGCTTCGGGTCCTCGCCTCTGCTGCCAACTGGAACAGCTCCTTGCCCTCCTCCAAATGACAGCCTTTCAAATATTTATGGCAGTACACCCTGCTGAGGTCCCTCCCCTTCCCAAACCTTCGAATCTCCAGGCATGCCCCAACCCAGACCTGGCAACTCTGCTCTTGGGAGACACCCCCTCCCCGCAAAGCACTAGACTTTGTCATTGTCTCAGACAATGTCACCCGAATGCCTCTTCTTCTTTTTTCATTTTTAAGAGCAGGAAACCTTTTGCAACCCACCCACCCCCAGCTAACCAACTAAGAAGCAAACAACCCTGAGAAAAACCTGTTTTGATACCTGTAGGAACCAGTTTGAAAAGAATTTCTGGAAGCTAGCTGCCCTTTTCTGGGTTTAGGCGTGATGTGTTTCAAGCTACAAAGGAACTGCTTTAGCAAAAAGCCCTCTACATTTTCATCTTTAAGTTACAAATTTCCAGTCCCCGGGTAATGGTTGCTCTCCTCAGCCATGATCAAACTTGAAGGGGAAGCCTTAAAAGAGAGATTATATGGCATTCCCAACTTGTATAAGTAATCTTGCTAAATGTTATTAAGAAGTAGAAAATTTGGCGTCCCCAATGCTTATTTACTGATTTATCTAGGAAAAAATTATCTATGAACACATATAGTTATGCCTGGACCCCTTGAAATCTAATAAAAACAATATGAGAAAATGAATTGGAAATAATAAGAATACAATAAATATAAGCAAGCAGTAAATTACAAGCACAATGTAAAATACATGAAATAAAAAGATATATTTTAGTTGGGGGGAAATTAAAAATGAGCACCCTGCATTTGTCTTCCAAAAGTAGTATTTGGGATTACAAAAGCATCACTTTTG